GAGGCCTAGCAGCAGCCCCCTCCTCCCCCCCCCACCACCAATCCGTTACTGAGCCGAGCGGCTCTTCATCATCCTGACCACAATGCCTTCTGATCGGCTGAGAGAGCACCCAGAGCGGCTCCCTGGACGGAATCAGAGCGCTAGCCGCAGCTCCCTCCCTCCCGCCAGGCACGCCCGCCCACCTGTCTGTGGCTCCCTGGACGGCAGAGCGGACAGCTGCAGCCAAGCCAGGTAAGACATCCCCCGAAAATACCAAATGCTCCTATACCTTTCTCGATATTGGAACTTACGGCCAGATGAAAATGTCCTCTGACTGGCAGTGCCGTAGGAGAATATGGAGCCAGCTTCTCGTGCAATCAGGAAGCCGTGCGGCAAGTAATGACCCGCCTCCTGATTTTCTGATTGGCCCAATATATACACACACACACACACACACAATAAACAAAGCTTGGAAAAATAATAGCATTTGTAAAGAAATGGCAGGGTGATTATAGCATGACTAACAAACAAACAATGGAGAGCCAAGTACTTCCTAATTTAATTTCCCCATTTAATATTGTACACCAACCGCCCAGATTTGTGTGTGTGTGTATGTGTGTGTGTGTGACTCAACTCCAATAAGCACAGCACTCCTTAATGCTCCATTTCTTTTCTCTATTGAAAGGTGGTACATCAGTATGTACACAGATGAAGACATTTTTGGGTGTCCTTGCCCTTTATCATGCTCATGGTAAGCTACAAAGTAATCAGGAGAAGTTAAAATGTATCCACAACATGAAACACATAATTAGATTAATCATACCAACACCCTCCCTAGATCCAAATGAAACATTGTGAAATGTTAGTCACAGATAAATAAAATACAAACTCCCTTTTATACCACCCCTATCAAAATGTAATAACACAGTAATAACCTACATCAGTAAATTGCATATCAGCATCTTCAAACCCCATCTACCTTACACCCAAATGCTTTGAATAGGGATTCTGATTTGTATTTATTCAAGTGAAATGAATGTCGATGTACATTTGCTTGTTTACAGGTCTCTTTGATGTGATTTGACAATACTGACATTAGATTTATTCATATAGATTTATTACTAGGCTCTTACATTTTGACAGGCGTGGTATATAGGAAATCGTTTGCATGTTTAATTATCTGTGACTGTTTCCGTTGGATTTGGGGGGGTTTATATGATAATGAATTTGAAGTGTTTCCTGTTGTGGATACTTTTAAAAATCCTGTGATTACTGTTTAACTTACTATGAACATAATGAAGGGTTGGAAGACCTAAAAAAAATTTAATTATCTGTGTAGTTACTGATGTACCGCTTTCCAATGGAATAACAATAAAAATATGGAGCATGAAGGAGTGCTGCTCTTATTGGAGTGGATCACATGAGTGTGTGTGTGTGTAGGTGTATATATATATATATACATACATACATACACACACACACATACATACATATATACACACACACACACTTTTTTTGCTCCTTTTTTGCTTTTGATAAGCAGGAGCAATACATATGCTATACATACCGTTGCAGTTAGCTGCTGCTTAAGATTGTCTCGCTCGAGAGAAATTTCCCGAAAGGCACTGTAAGCTCTGTTCACCTTGTCACTCTCGTCTCTGCTGTGTTCTTCACAACTGCCACAAAGCTAGAAGTAAGATGAGTAACAATAACTATGTACAAAAAGAAGCAAGACATGAACTTTGTAGCAATATGTTAAACGTACAACACAGCAGCCTTTAAAACAGGTGCAAATGAATGAAGAACATAATTGTTGGTTACAAATGTGCAATTTTTATCAGCACAACTTTAAAGTCACAAACATCCCATAAGCCACAATCTTAGAGAAATGCTATTCATATTTCATTTATGTGATCAATTATATTGGACCTAACCTTAAAAGCAACTGCTGAAGGACAAATGCTCTACAAAAATATTCATTAATCACATTCTGGTGACACTCCCTGGTTTTTATAAAAATCCGCTGCAGCCACACTTCAGACTCTTCTCAGTGAATCTAGCTCAGGCTGCTTTATGGATACAGCGTGAATTCTGCTGCCAGACTCTTCCCACCTTACCAACCATTCAGTGTCTGCAGTCCCTTTCTGCCGATTACTCCACTGGCTGCTGCTCGTCCAATGAATACAATTCAAAATACTAACAAAACATACAAAGCCACCCACAACTCTGCCCCCGCTTTATCACCAACTTTGTCTCAAAATATCACCCAAACCGCCTTCTCCGCTCTCAAGACCTCCTGTTCTCTAGCTCCCCCAATACCACCTCCCATGCTCCCGTTCAGGACTTCTCCAGAACCTCTCTCCCATCTGTCCGGTTGTCTCCCACCTTTTTTCGATGCGGTTTCTGATTTTTTTTGACTATTGCAACTCCCTCCTACACAGGCTATCCCCCTTTCAGTCTATCATTAATGCTGCTGCAAGACTCACCTAACCAACCTCTCAGTGTCTGCAACCCCCCTCAGCCAATCCCTGCACTGGCTTCCAATAGCCCAAAGGATAACATTCAAAATATTAACAATGACTTACAAAGCCATGCACAACTCTGCCCCTGGCTATATCTCCAACCTTGTCTCAAAGTGTCATCCTAACCATCCCCTCTGCTCATCCAAAGACCTTCTGCTTTCCAGCTCCCTCATCAACTACTCTCATGCTCGCCTCTGGGACTTCTCTAGAGTCTCTCCCATTCTCTGGAACTCTTTACCCCAACCTGTCCGACTATCTCCCACTCTTACTGCCTTCAGGCAATCCCAGAAAACTCACTTCCTCAGGGAAGCCTATCTCACCTCTACCTACAACTGAAACTTCACAGTATCCATCAACTCATCTCCTCACAGGTGTTACCTCCCCTATCACTTACCCCTCCCTTTTAGATTGTAAGCTCTCCTAAGCATCTTATCTTGTAACTGTACCGTCTCCCTTTATATTCTAAGGAGCTGCACAAAACTATACATAAACCCTGCATAATAATATTAATACTACAATATAGAATTACATAACTAGGCTTAAAGTGACATTAAAGGGACATTTTATTTTTCCCTCACCCCAACGTTAACTAAAGCACTTACCTTAAATGATGTCTTTTAATCCGATCATCTTCTTCTTTCCTGTAGTTTTCAGCCTTTTCTCCAGTGCTGCGGCGAATCTCCGATCCAGTGCTGACTCCTCTGAGCTTGCTGGCACGTACTCTCCCACGGTGTCTGCATGCGGGTGCGCGCGTCCATAGACTTACATTGTGTCTTTCCTCGTGTCGCGGCCGAAAATGTGAACTGAGCATGCTCCCGCCCCAAGATGCTTTGCGGCCGCCCGAGCAGTTTCACATTTTCGGACGGGGGCACGCAGGGAAGACATAGGTATGTTTAAACCGCTGTTAAAGCAGGTTTTTGTTTTTTTTTTTTACTTTTTGCATAGCAGAAGATATATGCAAAAAAAGCTGAGGGTTTAGAAACCCTTTAAGTCCCAGATGAACTGGGTAAAATGTGCTAAACATAGCCTATTTGATATAACTCAGCGGTCCTAATTTTAGCACAGCTGGAATGTAGAAGTGTGGCTTTACCAGAAGCACTTCATGTGTGTAGTGTTCTATGTAAAGCTCTATAAAAGTAGATTTTTTTTTTTTATGTGCATCAGTGGTCAGTTGGAGGGGAAGGGGGTTAAAGTGACATTAAAGTCAGCATTTTTTTTTTCTCCATTGTATTTGTGCTTTAAAAGGAGAACTATGAGGCGAGTGCTTTTCACTCACCTCATAGTTCTAGCCGACCTGTGACAATGAGACTGTCACAGGTCGGCTCAGTAGATCGGGAGGGGAGCGAACACATACCGGCGGTCGCTCCCTGCTCG